CCAGACAAGCAATCTTATCAGACCTATAGCCCCTAATGAAGTAGAAGAAGACAACAAAAGTCTCCCACCAAAATAGCCCATACCCAGATGGCTTCACTGCAGAATTTTATCCGAAATTCAAACAAGAGTTAATTCCAATACTCCGCAAACTGTTCCACACAATAGATGCAGGAGGTTCACTGCCAAACTCTTTTTAAGAGGCAACAATTACATGTTTCATAGAAAAGTGTGTCAGATATGCTAGGACATGTAGACAGAAGATGGATGACCCCACATTGCAGAGGAGCTGTAAGTGACTGTCCATGCGGCCGGGTGTGCCTGTCATTTGTCATATTTTTAGAAGTCACTTGCTTGTACATCCTGATTGCTCAGGTAACAATATTTCCTTATAGGAGCTCTGACGGAGTTTAAGTCTTTATACTTACAGCTTTCCTTGAAGCAGATTCAGTAAAGACATTCACTAAAGAAGGGTTAAGTGTATAATGTTGAGAGACATAAAAGACACTTTTGTAATGCAAGTTGGAATAGAAAGTGAATTAGGTAAACATTGTGGAACCACCAAGATAGGATTGATAATGGAATATTCTCTCTGAATTTGTGAAATATATATGGACTAGACATTGTGGATATATTTATTGCCGGGATAATATATATATATATATTATTGTTCTATATAGTTTTTCTTGTATTAGTAGTAATCTTTTATAATTTGAGCCCAAAAGGAGGAAGTATGAAATTTTGTTTTTGCTCTAACAAATAAATCTTTCCTGAAGATGGAGGAGGTTGGGCTAAACACCAGTTATTCCTAGATGCAAGGCCTTCGTGATACACAACGTTAACCTGCCACTTGGGAGCAGGAAACAGGAAGTTTAGTAGGTCAAGTCCAATCTGCGCTACACAAAAGTGAACCAGTGTAAAAAGAAACTCCAGGGGGGCAACTCACACCTCTGATCCCAGCACCTGGCATCATGCCTTTATACCCAAGACTGTGAGTCACACTCCTTTAATCCCAGAAAAAAGGAGATGGTGACAGGAGTCCCTGGACTAGGCAGATAGAGAGAGGAGCATAAGGCTGGAGAAGAAAGTATCCCAGTCTCTTCTGTTTGAGAATTTGAAGAGAGAGGAACCTAAATGCCCACCTGGATCTGTCTTAAAATTTGGTGTATGGAAGAATCGTTAGTAGCTGACTCCTTTACCTCTCTTATCTTTCAACTTTTACCCCATTATGTGACTCTGGGTTTTTCCTATTAACACCAATTAGGATACATTCGGTGGAGCACCTTTGCCCCCCCACACACACAGAGAGAGAGAAACACACACCCACACTCCAAACGAATGTAATAACAAATGAAGTCATGTCTCCAGAATCAAGAGGCTGCTGCTGTCCACAATCTTCTGTAGCCAGGACACAGAGGTCCAGAGAGCACTGTGACACAAGTTCTCCACACAACTGGCCCATGTCCCCAGCAGGGGGCAGAAAGCACATATTTTGCTATCCAGAGGCTATCCACTGCCTCAACATCTGTATCTCTTTACATCTCAGCAGAGGTGTAGTGCCAACTCACTGGAATCAGAACTGGCTTTGGAGTTGGACTGCGGCTCTCCTTCCCTAAGTGCAATCCTGTTGTTAAGACAGAGCTTCAGAGTTCCTGTCTCCTATTAGGAGACCCATTGGTGCGGAACAGAAGAAACCCTAAAATCTATGGGCTCTGCTTGCCAAAACTGTATCTCACAAAAATTCCACTTCTCCCCATACTTATTTTCATCTTATTTTTATCAGTACCTTTCTTTGGGTGTATGTCTATACATATTGAAACTATTCATTTTGTTATGAATGATGTTTAAGTTTTCGCAGCAAACAATACATTTTCCTGACAGTAGTCTCAGAAGTCTCCAGAAAGAAGATGGATTCCCAAAACAATTCCACCTGATTCACCATGATTCCTTAGAGCTGATAAATGCAGGCACTTGAAAGACTTCTTACCTCTAACGAATCGTCAGACAGAAGGGGGTGGGGCTGGGTGACCTGGCTTTATGACTCCTCCAACTTAAGAAGCCGAACCCTCCAGTTGAAGATGCAGAAATCCTGTCTCCTCCATCCTCATATTCCTAGAGTAGGTTTGTCGTGGGCAGTGTTGGTGCACACCTTTTTATACTAGCATTTTGGAGGTAGAGGGAAGAAAATATTGTGGTTTGAGGCCAGCCTGTCCTACAGAGTGAGTACCATAACCTGCCAAGGCTACACAGACAAACCTGTCTGAAAATAAAAAAGCAAGCAGCCAAACAAATAAACAAAAAAGAAGTAGGTTTGTGGCCTTGTTGAATCTGAGCTGTTCTGGAGAACCCTGTGTAAATGCACTGAATGCATGGTTGGAGTTCAGGACACAGGATCCTATAGAAACGCCTCATTTTGAGACCTAAATGGAGACAGAAGTAGAAATTACTTACATTCAGGAATGGAATTGAGCAGATGGTGGCACTGTTGCTGCCAACAAGGACTCTCCTCAGCCTCTCCCCCATCATCTGAGGACCTGGACTCATCTCTCAGACGGAGATGGTAAGGACAGAGACAGATAAGGTTAAGTCACATGCATAGATTAAAACTTGTGCTTGGCAGGGGACCAGGAGATACTGGCCGTGGAATGTGTATGAAAGCAGAACAGTAAAGCTTAGAAGACAGTAGGGCGGGGTCATCCCTGTGACCATTCACCAGGGAGAGATCCTCACGGGGGCTGCGGGATAAACCTGTGGGTCAATGAGAGGGTGAGTGATGGCCGCAAGGACAGTGAAGCTGGGTTTGGGCTGAGATAATGGCGGACAGCCTGTGCAGGAGAGTTGAGAAAGACTTGGGTGTCTACTGCATACAAGTAGACACAGGAGGCTGAGGTTCAAGTAAAGAGCAAGGCAACGACCCCCAAGTACTGTGCAGTGGAAAATGTCTGAGCCAGGATGTCTCGTATGCTTATACAGACACAGTGCGCAGGATGACTTTGGGGTGAGCCACGGGGTGTCTATGGCATGGCTTGAAACAAATGGAAAGACTTGATCTCCAGAGTGATGTTCTGGAATGGGGAGTCAACTGATATTCCCAAGACCAAGAGAAACAACAAGGCTGCATTTGTGCAGGTACAGAGGAAGCACATTGTGTAATACAGGGGGTAAATATTGGGTTGAGGCCTTGAAGTCAGGCCCCCTCTTAGATGGCATTTACCTGCTCAGGTGGCTAACTACATGTGGGTGACAGGGTGACCCATAGAAGAAGTAAGAGCAGGGCAGCTGTGGCCCCAGCCTCATACTCTCCTGTGAGACAATCAAGGACTTAGTGGGAGTGGGGATATGCTTTTTGGGTTTGGATAGGTAAGACTAGAGTCTGTTCAGAGACACTGTTTCTCTCATCATGGTAGAGCAGTGTGACCATTGAGGGTGTGGCATTGCCTCTTCCTGGAGGAATGGAAGCTTCTGGATGGGAACAGAGACTCCTATACTGTGCTGTGATGCTGGAAACCTTTGTCCTCACTGCCTCCCTGAGTCAGTTCCAACACTTGCCTAGCTCAGTCTGTCATCTCAATCTTTGACACTCTCCTTAGCTGTGCTGTCATTTGCGTCTCCCTGTGAACTAACACTTTTAAATATTTCTGTGTGTACTGCTTGACGTTCCTCTCCTTTTTAGTGGTCTGGTTGTTTTTGTGTCAGTATGTGAGAGAGCTTACATTCACAAACCACAGTGTGCACATGGATGTCAAATACAATGTCAGGTGTCACTCCTCTCCTACCATGTCTAGACAGGTCTCTCTTGTCTCCTGACACTGGACTCCAGACAGATTTCTTTTTTTTTCTTTTTCCATTTTTTTATTTTATTTTCCAGTTTAAATTTAGATAAGAAACAAGGTTGCTTCACAAGTCAGTTCCAGGTCCCTCTCCCTTTCCCTCCCCTCCTCCCGTGCCCTCCCCCGCCCCCCCTCGTTATCCCCTCATTACCCCAGGGGAGTGAGGCCCTCCATGGGGGAGTCCATAGTTCCAGACAGATTTCTGGTTATTCACTTGTCTACTCTCATCTCTGGTGAGGAGCACTGGAATTATGGATGTTTTCTGTTAAGATTGGCTTTGTATGGGTCCTGGGATTTGATCTCAGGTCCCCTGTAATGCATTGAAGTACTCTATCCTTTTTTTTTGTTTTTTCGAGACAAGGTTTCTCTGTGACATTGGAGGCTGTCCTGGAACTAGCTCTTGTATTACAGGCTGGTCTTGAACTCTCAGAGATCCTCCTTCTTCTATTGCCTTAGTGCTAGGATTAAAGAAATGTGCCACCAACTCCATGGTAATGTATCCCTTGATACATCTTTCCAGTCTGTCTCTCTATTCTTTACTTGAGTACCTACTATTATCGTTTTCCCCATTAATGATGTTTGTTTAACATTAACTTTTGTTTTCTTGCTGTGGCAGTGTCTTTCGATGTAGCCGTGGCTGTCCTGGAATTTGCTATGTAGACCAGATTATGACAAATGGTGGCTGAAACTAGCAGATGAAGAGAATGTGGTATGCAACCCCGGGTCATCTTTGGACTCACTGCACTATTATGGACTGATGTCTAAGGAACCAGCAGCCCTGTGACATATGAGGTGAGCAATTGTGCACCTCATTTCTGTCCTGCCAGATCCTGAACCCGCTGGCTGCTCACGTGGTATTTACCCTGAGACAGCTTCTGTATTACAGTCTCACAAAGCTGCAGTCAGACAGGTGTGGTGGTGATTAGTGCCTTTAATTCCTGCAATCGGGAGGCAGAGGACAGGAGGATCTCTGTGAGTTCATGGCCAGCCTGGGCTACAGAACAACAAAAGAGCCGCAGTGGCTTTCCCATGATCACCTGGCCAGTCAGTGCCAGTTTCCCTGCTCTGAGTGCCCACACATGTCACTTCTGTCACTGTCTCCCACATCCTCTGAAGATGTCACACTTCACCTGCACAGGACACAGACATGGAGAGCAGAGCAGAGCTGCAGGTGTTTATTAGAATGAGCTTCACAGACAGAACAATGGTGGGACAGGTGTCTGGATTTCAACTTCAGGAGGGAGAGAGGACATGGCTGCAAGGTGGCACAACATCAGCCATCACATTTTATGGCTTCGAATTTGGAAGACTTCCTCACATTTGAGTAGGGCATCTTTAGCATAGTATTTCTTGCATGGCGAGTTGATGATGATTTCATGCTGGAAAACAAAAGGTCAGAGAGAAGTAGAGGTGGTCACAGGCAAGGTGCAGAGCTTCACCAGGGCTCCGCAGTCACCGTGATGAGGCTGCCCCTAGACTTCAGAAAGGGAAACTCCCTGCAGTGACTCAGGTTTCCCCAGTACACTCTGCGCAAGGGAACTGAAGCTCATCCACAGCTGCCAAGATGAATCATGAAAAGCCACCCTAGCCAGGCAGGGATGAAGGGAAGAAGGTGCTGGAAGGTATGATGGGGATAGTGTGGAGAGGACACAGGATGGCTGAGCATTACTTTTGGTGTCCCATACCTGAGGACATCTGTCCAGCACATTGGGTAATACATCCCCTGTGTGAGTGTGTTAGAAGAAAATCTTTCCTAGAGAGAACTGTGGTTTTTCAAGACCTCTTCATTCAAACTACAAACATTATGATTGACACAGAATACTCCTCTGTATAATCCTGCTTTGCCTAAAGACCAGACAACAGGAAACAAGGAGAAGCTGTGGTGGACATCTGTGGGCACTCCCTGGGGGTGGGGTATCATCTAAGCCATGCAGGGAGATTCTGCCCTGGCCCTGAGGATGCCAGGGGAAGGAGGGCTCCATCTGAGACAGGGGAGTACAGTCAAGGGAGGATCCAGAGAAGGTGACACTGGCCAGTAGACAGAATTCAGACATCTTAGATCACATCTGAGGGTGTCCTACATGTGCAGCCACCAGAGCAAGGATCTCCTGTGTCCCTGCATGCCCTAGAGTGGGAGAGAACCCCTATCTATAGTCTAGCAGAGATTGTGGGAACTTGCTTAGAGCTGGCATGCTGCATTGCCATGTACTAGGGTGGGCCAGGATTGGAGTGCTCTGTTCTTCATCCCCTGACACACATGATCAAGTATACACAGCATTTCTCCATGTATCCCTGGGGGATTAGGGTAGGGAGGAATTTACCAGAACTACTCCTTCCAGAGTTTTACCTTCCCATTCTGCCTCATTGTTGCATTTCTAGAGATTGTCAACAGCCTCCCTCTCCTGGGCAATCGGGATAAACTTGCGTATGAGCTCATTACTCATTTCTTTGTTTCCATAGACCGTTGCGTTATATACTTCGAAGAAAGGAAGGCATGCTTCTGCTGCAAACATACGAAGGAAAACATCAGTAGTGAGCTCCAGGCTGGAGAAGTGGAGATTCAGTGTTTCTGGCCACTTCTACAAATGTCTTAACTGACCTTCACAGTTCTATCTTCCTGAGTCTGCTGCCTCCCAGATACAGCCACAGATTCCATAGACACACACTCTCAGTAGAAGGGGATAAATGAGTGTGCCAGCCTGCGTATCTGACTTTCACGTAAATCCTACACATGAACCAGCTTCAACTATGCATGCAAATAAGGACAGGTCATCACCACATACCCCTGCTCCCCATCCCACCAACCCCAACTGTCTCAGTCCAGAGAAGTAAGTCAAGGGACGTGGGCAGGTGTCCTGGCAGGTGACCTCCCAGAAACCCCTTAGATCTATGTCCCGACACTGCTTGGAGATCTATTCGGAAATGAGATGGGGTGAGCATGGAGAACAAAGGCCGTCTGTCCCCGTTCTCACTTGTCTGGAAGCCCAGCTCCACGGCCACCAGCAAGGCCAGCAGAAGCAGAGTCCCCTTCATGGTGTAGAGTGCTAAATGGTCTTCTCAGAACAGATCCTGCTGCCTTATAAGCTGCTGTCTCCCTGAGCCCAGTCCCGCTCAATCCATCCCACCCAAGCCCAACCCTGCCTCCCACGAGTGCCAAATGTCTTTGGGCATGAACATGGCACCTGTGGATTCCTGTCCCTGTTGCATGAGGGAGTGAGCATAGCAGCCCCTGCCAGTCTGAAGAACAAATGGCTGGAGACATCCTAATGTCATCAGCTTCTGGACAGAAGTGGTTGTATCTTTGCCAGAAGACGTTAGGACTGACCTTTCTAAGCAACCACATGCTGAGCCGAGTGTCGTATTGTCCTGCCTGAGCTGTCACCTTTGCTTCCCGGTCACACTCCTCCTTGCCTCTCCTGGCTGCAAGCATGTCCTCTTCAGCTTGGAGGTGGAAACCATGGAGGTCAAGGAGGATTTCTGTCACTGTAGGGAGCCAACAGCCCACAACACTGCTTTTCCGTGAGATCAACATGTGTGCAGATGTGTGCACATCTGGTACCATACTGGGTTCCACGGACATCATATCATCTTAGCTGCTGTCGCCTGTGGAGTCAACCTTTCCGGACAGGGACAACCATCTGGGGCTTTTAGTGACTGCCAGCCAGGGTAGTCACAGTGTGTTAGGTCACGTGGTTCTCTTCTGTGCATTGGATGTTTTTGTCCCACCAACTGCATCATGCCGCAATGTCGCCCTCCCTGCCTCAGCAGCTCATTCCTGTTGTCCTGCTCTCGTCACTCTCACCCCTACCAGGAAGCAGGTCGCTAAGAATTCAAAGAGTACTGGCCATTTGGAGGGATTTGTCACTGCACATGAATTCTCCTTTGTCCATGGGCAGTGGGGTGTGTGGATGGTGTCAAGTTCAAATCAACCTAATGCCCTCACAAAAGAGTTTGTCAACTTGGGTTGTGTTTCCTGAAGGCAGGACACGTGCGGTGTGTGATGGCTAATCTTGATGGTCATCCTAACTGCATTTCAATCCTCATGGAAACAAAGCTCTGTCAGTGTGGAGTTTTTAGGCTGTGTCAGTTGATGCAGGCAGTCTGACTTTACGTGGGCAGCGTGGACTAGGGTCTTTAAGGACTGGAAAGCAGAAAGCAAGCTGGATATTCTTATCTCTCCACTTCCTGATTGTCGATGTGGTCCTGCACCAGGCCACCCCCACCAAGATGGACTGCATCCCTTCAGAGTGTCAGCAGTCACTCCTGCTCTGGTTTCTGTACTGGTTTGCCAAAGCCTTAGAGGTGTAATTTTAGCATGTGCACAGTCCTGAGGTTAATCCACTACATCACACAGAAAAATGGGGGTGTCTAAGGAGATGACTCAGTGGGTTCAGTGCTCAATATGGAAGCCTAAAGACCTGAGTTCAGATCCCCAGGACCCCTGTAAGGACGTGAGTGTTGTGGCATCCACCAAAATCCCATGGGAGCTCCAGGTTCAATAAGAGAACTTGTCTCAAAAAGAAGTGTGGAAGGCTATGGAGATAGTTAGTGATTAAAGGTGCTGCCACTAAGCATGATGACCTGAGTTCAAATCCCAGAAGTCACAGGATAGAAGAATAGAACTGGCTTCTCCTAGTTCTCCTATCATGTTATCACACACACACACACACACACACACACACACACACACACACACACACACACTTTGTGGAATCACAAGAGAGTCCAAAAAAGCTCTTAATTGTCAGTATAAAATAATTCCAATAACAAATAGCAAGATATTGATATATGGTATGTTTGTGTGAATGGCCGGATGAGCAGAAACATAAATAGGAATGAAAGACAGTGTTCTTATAGAAGAAATCATGAGTACTTACATATGCTCCTCTCCTCTCAGGAGGGGAGTTTACTTCCTTCGGTCCTTCAGTTTGAGCTTCATGTGTGCAAAGGAAAAATGAAGGTGGCCCGGGACTACCCCAGTTAGGAAAATAATTGCTGTATAAGCTTGAATACCTGCGTTTCAGTCCCCAGGCCCATGAGGAAAGCCAGGCACAGTGATGTTCCTTGTAATTCCAGCACTAGGGAGTCCACCCCTGGGGGTCACTGGCTAGTCAGTCTAACCAAGACCAGGAAAAGGAAGAGACCCTGTCTCTAAAATATAAGAAGATCAGCTGTTAAGAGGACTGAGCACCCATGGGGCAGCTAACAACCCCCTGTAACTCCAGTTCCCGATGATTCAACACCCTCCTCTGGGGACCACAGGCCCTGCACCTACAGTGTGTAAAACTTTCATGCAGGCAAAATCTCCATGCATAGAAAACAAAACAAATAAAATCTTTTCACAAAGCAAAAATCTGCATATACAATATGTATGTATGTGTACATGTACAAGCACACACATAAATACACACACACATATACATTTATATTGTGAGAGAGACTGAAGCACTTGATTGTCCATCTCTGGCTGTCATGTGTATGCACACATGTATGCCATGTGTCTCAGTTAAGGTTACTATTGCTCAGCCAGGTGAGGTTGACCACACCTGTAATCCCAGTACTAAGGATGCAGAGGCATGTCGATTTCTGTGAGTTCCAGACCAGCCTGGTATCTAAAGTCATTTCCAGGACAGCTGTGATTCAAGGAAATACTGTCTGGAAAAAACAAAAATAAATCAATAAGTGAATAAAAAGATTACTATTCATGTGAGAAATACCTTCACCAAAAGCAAACTGACAAGGAAATGTTTATTTGGCTTGTGCATTCATAACGAAAGTCAGGACAGGAACTCATGCAGAGCAGGAGTCTGGAGGCAGGAGCAGATGCATAGGCCATGGAGGATGCTGCTACTGGTTTCTTTCCCAGGGCTTGCTCAACCTGGTACCATATGGAATGCAGGGCCACCAGGCAGGAGATGGCACCAGCCACAATGGGCATAGCCATCCCACATTGATCACTAATAAAATGCCTGGCTAATGACTGTTGCTGGATTCCTTTAATCCCAGCACTTGAGAGGTACAGACAGGTGGATCTCTGAGTGTTGGGTTAGCTGGGTCTACAGAGTGACTTCCAAGACAGTCAGTGCTTCACAGGAAACTCTGTCTTCAGGGAAGCCAGAGAGAGAGAGAAAATGCCTAACAGACTTGCCTACAGTCCTAAGTTGTGGAGGCATTCTCTTATTTTGTTTTTTCTTTATTAAATGTGTTTCTTTTGGATTTTACAGACAGGATGTTCCGTGTAGCCTTAAATCTTTTGGAACAGAATGTAGAGCTGGCTAGCCTCAAAATCGGAGATACACCAACCACCGATTCCATGTTGCTGGGATTAAAGTAGTGTGCCACTTCTACCCATACCAACCATGTTTCTCTTCCTTGAGGTTACCTCTTTCTTAGGACTTTAGCCTTTGTCAAGTTGACATAAAACTAGCAAGTAGGCACTGTGTAACCAACATATGGGCAATTGCAAAAACAAACACACATGCAATATCGAATGGGCACATGCACGGGGGAACACACACACACACACACACACACACACACACACACACACAGGAAAATATGAGGGAATCATAAAACTGTATAAATGCCTGGTCACAGAATGCTAATGGTTCAAGTGAGAATTTCCAGTCAGTATGGAAAGGTGCAGGTGTCATGTGTCCTCTGACATGCAGGATTAGGCACTAAACCTCTGTGAGATCTCCAAACAGTCGAATGTCAGTTCTGATGAACTAGCAGATTGCTGCAGGTGTCACCCACCAGTAGACACTTTTAGCCACAGTATGCCCTTGTCTCCATTCCTAGTACTTCCAAGGAATACAAAGACCTAGCTGGGACTCAGCAGCCCTGGGAACTTGCAAGGTTATCAAAACAAGGCCTGGAGGACATAGTGGACAGCTCATGAGTAGATATTAGTACTTGGCACCTTTTTCCCCAAACAGTTACAGGATTCATATTCTGTTTGGCTCAGGCATGCAGTAAAGTCAAAAGAGTAAGTTCTCTCTAAGATTTGGCAATAACTTAATCTGTCACCACTGATGGATAGAAAGCGACATTCAATGCCTTTAACAACAAACTAATTAGTTCTGACTTACCAAACACTTAAAGCCTTTACTTTCAAAAATTATTACCAGCCAACTAACAAAAGCACTTATATAAGGTGAACAGGGAGGTGTGGATAGTGGTGTTGAAAGTTTGAGGGTAGCCTGGGTCATCCGGGAAGATACTGTTGTTTCATGTTTCACAAAGGTCTTGTTTAGAGACTTGAGAGATGCAAGCTAGCCCTCCAATATGTATAATGGCCACTGTGGAGACCTTCTATGTGGTGTCCCAGGGATAGCGTGCCACATACCTTGTTCTCCTGAGTCATTGGATATCTAAGGGACACAAAATCATCCACAGGAAGAGTTGCTGGGGAAGCAGGGACTGGGTTCAGAGCCCAGTGCTGTGGTGGAGGCCAGGCATGTTCTCATGCACAGGGTCCCGTGCACTGTGGTGTTGTAATCTGTGTTCCATTGCTGTGACCAAACCCCCCAGCCTCGGTGCTGTATGTGGGAGAGAAGTTAACTTGGTTCATGGGAGGAGTCTTGATAGTCCCAAATAGAGCAGCCACATCTAGGCAGTGCTTGCACTGTGTGAACTCATGGTGCATTGTGGGAAGCTGAGGGCAGGTGATGAAAGTCAGTCCCAGAGCAGGGGATCCACCTGGTTTAGATACACCACCATAACTGACTGTCAGAACTGCCGCCCTGGGAACCAAGGCCCAAGGTGTCCTAGCCGAGTTGAAACCACAGATGTCTGTGCCTCTGATATGGTGCTTGATGAATCTGAGTATCAGATCTCACAGCCGGGTGACAGGGAGCACACAATCCAGTCAGAGCAGAGCATTGGGAGACCCTTGTTCTCAAAGAGGTCATGCTTATGGGAAATGTTGTCCTACCCTATACAGACATACTCTAGTGACAGATAGACCAGGTAGATGATAAGTTCTAGTTTCAGGGGACACAGAGTGGTCAGGAGAGCTGCAGAGTCCACTGTGGGAGGCTGAGGCAGGTGAGTCCCATGATAGCTGTCTGGGATCTCTTTGCTCAGAAGATAGAAACTGTGTGTGGGGGAGGGGAATGTCTCCAGCTGCTAGCTTTGGCTGCTCCATTGCCCTCCATGTGTCACGGCAGTGGACAGATGCACAGTTGATGGGAGCAGCAGCAGCTGGTACCCTAGGTGAGCAGGCCTCACACTAGCATAGACCCAGAACCCTGTGGTTAAGAAGGAGGACCTCCTTGGCACTCACCAGTGCTGTGGCTCTTGGCCCTGGTGAGGGTCTTGTGTCTAAAGAAACCACAGCTCCCCGGACATAGTCTGGCAACCAGGGGCTGATGCTTCCATCCTCTGGAATGAACCCTTCTGTCCTTCTTCAGACACTGATCTGCTCTCTTTCTGTGACTCTTCCTTTTCCTGTCCCTTCCCCTGTCAGATGCTTCAGCTACCATGCATCCAGTCACTTGCTTGTGACCACTCAGATGCCACTCCCCTGCCTCAGCCCTTGCTGAACTGTCTGCTGCTTTCTTTTCCATCACTGTCCTTAAATTAAGGCCATAAGAAGTCGACTCAACAGACCCTTTCCTGAGGCTTAACATGTCAGTCCCAGGAGAGAGAGTGGGAGTCTTTTCCAGACCAGTGAATGACCTGACAGCCCACTTCCCTAGCAAGGGCACTGCAGGCTTCTCAGCCACCTCCCAGCACACCCTCTGCTAGGCCACGGGGAGAAGGGTGGGACTGCTTCCCCTCTGGCCAGGGTAAAAATGGTTGAATGGTCAAGTAGAATTGTGTGATAGCAAAATTCTGCTAGACACTCTGAAACAGCCTCAATGAGGCTGTTCCTTCTGAAGCCAGCTCACATTGTCCTGTTGTTTTGGTGAGGTACCTGTGGAGTCTTCAAAATGGCCAGTGGAGTCCCCAAGCCAGTCATGCTGGCTTTCTGAGGGACAAGGCAGCTGGAGCAGCAAGGAAGAGTTGGACAGAGGCCAATTAATATGTCTGATGCTCCATACTGAAATACATTTTCTTAGTTATGACAATATGAGCCTGAGCCACTTGCAATATGACCTTAAAGAAATAGTGATATTATCAGGGTCTCTCGGTGTGATTCTAACTGACCTGTAACTCTGTATGTGGAACAGGCTGACCTCAAGTTCATAGTGATCCTCCTATCTCTGTCTTCTGAGTGTTCAAATTGAAAGCATTTGACACGTCAGGCATCTATTAATGGATTTTAACACAGCTCACACCATACACATGCAGACACACACACAACACACCCACAAAAATGTACATGTCACATACTATATGCTACACACATACCACTCATATACATACCATACAAACACATGTTACACATACAGCACCCATGTATAAACAACATGACACACACACCACAATTCACATATGCCACAGTTACGTACATATACTACATACACATACATATCACTCACCGAGAACAAAAAACATGCACATACATTCATGAAAATACCACACATAGCATGCACAGGGACCACAAACACACCACTCAAATAACACAAGAACTACACACACACACTCACACCACACAGCACAATAATATTTTACAAACAAACACATCATACACAAAAGTATGCCACACATCCAAATACTAAGCATGCACCACACACACACACACACACAATACAAACAAATACATATTACACACACTACACACATATGTACACATACCACCACATGCCACACATATACTCCACACACAGTCCACACACATCACAAGCACACACATATGCTATATAAACACAAAAAACATGGGTTACACACACAGACATATATACATATATATATATATCTCACAGAGAACACACATTCACTACAAACATACACACTATAACATACTACCCACACACCACGACCAAAAAAATACACAGGCACCCCACATACACACCAAACCTACACATCACAGAAACAAACACACCATACACACAAAGGACACATACACAAACTAATTACATACTACAAACACATAGCACTAATACACAACAAGCCCACACATATTGTACACACACACAAACAAACAAACACACACACCACTCCCTTCTTAGAATGTTTATAAACTAACCTGAGCAAGATCCTGTCTTTAAAAAAATCAAAAATATCAAAAGGGGGTCAAGTTAAGCTGGACTGAGAACACATTTAATCCCAGCACTCAGGAGGCAGAGTCACATGGACCTCTGTAGTTGAAGGTCAGCCTGCTCTACACAGAGATGCAGCAGCAGAGGCAGGGCAATGTCTGGATGGGATATCTCAAAAGAAAACAACAGCAACAAGGAAAAGGACAAGTTGAAGTGTGACTACAAGAGCAGGAAGACTTCAGGGCTACAATAGGGTTCAGGGAAGCCATGAAGCATGAGAGAAATTGGGGAAGGGATAGAAAGAGACAGAGCAGGGGACCCCAGTGAATATGATGTTGTCTATCCTAGACATTGACTACGAGGGAGACTTTTCATTAAACATTGAGTTCCCTGCCAATCAGGGTGACCAAGGCATCACTCTGGAGGTCTGGTTGAGGGAAGTTTTGCCTGGCTGGCAAGTCATCATCTCCTTGATGATATGACATGTGACTTTAAGCAGAGCACTAAGAAGGGTGTTAAGAGAAGCTTTTTCTTTTGCTAGCCGCTTTGGTTTATCCCTCGCCAGTCGCCTGGGCTCTGCCGCACCAGCCTGGTTCTAGATCCGCATGAGTCCCAAATAAACACACAGGAGGCTATATGAATTATGAAGCTGTTGGCCTTGCTTGTCTCTTACTGGCTAGCTCTGCTTTAAGTAATTACCCCATAATTGTTAATCTAAGTATGTCTCTTACCAGAGAATAGTTCTGGGCTCCTACCCCCTTGGCGGTTACATGTTGACTCTCTTGTGTTTCCCCTTCCCAGAATCCTCCTCGACTCCTAGTCCCTCCTATCTAGGTTTTCTATTGGCCAGACAGTACTTTATTGACAAATGCACAGGCAAATAACAGGACTTCCCCAACAGAAGGGGACCAGGCTGAGCCAGGGACTTTGTTGACCGGGATCTTCTCTTCTTGCCAAAATACACAGCTACCCTGACACCACCCCAGGGAGTATCACTTAGTATTCTGGGAGGAGTCTGGAAGGGTTCAGACACAGCCTCTCCCTGCCCACTGAGCAGTCCAGGGCAGTTATAGAAGGGGCCATAGCTGGGTAGGAACACCTGACACCATTACCATGAGCTCACTGGCGCTCTCGTGTAGGTTCTCGTGTAGGTTCTAGGGTGGAGCATATAATTGAACCCCTCTTTTCACTAGAAGTAGTACGATCAGTCACCAGGTTAGCATCATGTATCTGAGGGTCTTCATGTGACAGTAATCAGGTCACTTGTGGGACCATAGCTGCCTGAGGCTCACTTGGAGCCATTCCAGGTCCTGCCCAGCTGCTTCTGGATTCTGTCCTTCATGTTCCCATGGTGTCCTGAAGGCAGGTGGCTCCTTCCATCAGCCTGGATTGGAGGCTGTTTAACAGGTTTGCCCTAATGAGATTTGAGGGAAACAGGGAGGAATGTTTGCTCCCTGGACCTGGTCAGAACCAGGATCTATGGCAGATGGGTACAGCTCCCTCCCAACTGGTGTCCCTTGTATGATGAATGACGTCCCCTTCACCTCTCATGCCTCACTGACTTACTGTGTCCAGGCATAAAGAGATGCTGACAATTACTGTTGATGAATCCATCTTTGCCCAAAGACTCAAGGAAACCACTTAACTGCTCACCTGAATAAATGCAGGAAGCCCTACCCCTTCCCTCCAGGTGTCAAAACCTGGATTCCAACAATAAAAGCCTTGCAATCCACAGGGGAGCCTGGACTATGTTTATTTGAGATAGGGCATTGTTTGGAAAGAGAATGTGGGGGAACAACCATGGACATTGAATAATCACTGCTCAATTGCAGAGCTGCCAAAGTATCCAGGCAGCATGTATTAGGGAATGCCAAGAGACCACAGTCACCACACCCAGAGTGTCTGTGGGCCAGAGTCCATAGGGCACTTACATGATCTCCCCAATTGACCTCCCCAGGATCTAGAAGCAGTGACGGGACTGAGAGGCTGTGTTTGCTGAGGATGCCACATCCTCTGCACAGCAAAATCTGTCCTTTCTGCCCCCTGCTGGGAACTTCCTTTGTTATTACATTTGTATGGGTCTCTCTCTCTCTCTCTGTCTCTCTCTCTGTCTCTGTGTATGTGTGTGTGTGTGTTTCTGTGTGTAGAGATCAAATGTGCTCCTTAGCATGTATCCTAATTGGTTTTAATAGTAAAGTCCCAGAATCAGGTAATAGTCCAATGGTGAATGATAAGAGCTTTAACGGAGCCAGCCACTAGACAGATTCCTACTCTACAAACTTTCAGACAGTTAGGGGGTGGGAAGATGTGACTAGAGATCCTCCAAGTGAAGAGACCAAGATCCTGACTCCTCCAAACTTGTACTCCCTTTTCCACCTTTCTAGTGATATGATAAAATGAGTGTGACTCCCAAATCCTGGGTTCAAAGGCTTGAGATCCCATGCTCGGATCAGGAGACTGAGCCACCACCAACCAGCTCTGATTCTCTTTCACAGTGGTTCAATATCATTTAGCCCAGAGTGGCCTTGTACTCCTGATCTTCTTGCTTCCTCCTCTCAAGTGCTGGTGTTAAAGGTGTGTGTCACCAAGGCCTGGCTTCTATGCTTAAAAATTCTCTAGCTCCATTGCCTGATCTCAGGCAACCTTGATTTCTTAGAGCACAAAGAAAAATTTGCATTTCCCCATTTTTGTTCTAAAATAGAAAAGCTTATATCTAATATAAGAAAAACTATATAGAACAAGTGCAATAACTATATACAATGTATAGAGGAAGTACATTCATCAACAATGTCTAGTCTGCAAATACTTGACAAATTCAGATAGAATATTTCTTATCTACCCTATCTTGGTGGTTCCAAAAGGTTGTACGTAATTCACCTTCTATTGCATCTTGATTTACCAAAAATATCTTTGTATGCCTCTCAACCTCATACACTTTACATATTGTAGGGGAGAGCCCATTTAGATACAGGCCACACCCTGTGTAGCATGGTCTGTATCTTGGGTACCTGAGCTCTCCCCTATGCCATTAACTTAGTGAATGTCTTTACTGAATCTACTACTAGGAAAACTATAAGAATAAAGTCTTCAATTCCATCAGAGTACCAAGAAAGAAAAATATTATCTGACTAAGCAGGGTGTGCAATCAAGGGGCTTCCAAAAATGTGACAAATGACATTCAAACCTGGCTGCCTGGACAGCCTTGCAAGGTTCCTCCGTAGTGTTGGGGCATCTTTCTTCTGACTACCGGCCTGGCATATATGACAGACTTCTGTTAATTAGGATATTCTCATGGGCTTTCCTCCCTTTTCTTGGCAAAGTCTGTAAGTCATGCTCTTTTGTGTGCTGCTTGTCCAATTTGGCTGCATACTGTCAGCAGTCAAGAGAAGAGCAATTTCTTGTCCAGTGGCTAATATTTGCCACAAAGAAAGTAAACTCAATGTGGAGTTTCTTCAATGACCATGATCTTTGAAGAAGATTGGTCCTGCCAGGATCAGACATGTCTCATTGTCCTGACAAAACAGTGCTATTAAAACATTTTAAATGCCATCATCTGCTAATGGTGATCAGGAATAGGATGATGGATTTCCAAGTAGAACGTCAAAAGTTTTAAGGGAATTTTAGAAACAAAAGTACGGAGAATAGCAGGGGTTCTCAGAAGCAGCATTTTTCCCAGTTGTGCTCTATTTTGCTATCAACAAGCAAAGACTCACACGGCTTGCTTAAGGGAGTCTTCCTGATTCAGCATAAAAAAACAAGGTTCTGAGGAAAGACATCAGCTCTTCCCAGCCACAAACCCCAGCGGGTCCAGCTTCAGGTGAGATTGGGTCTCCGGCTGGGATCCCCCCTCCCATCCCTTGATCTTCGGGGCCACTCCTGGCATCCAGAAGACCCGCCCACACAGGAAAGACATCAGCTCTTCCCAGCCCCAAACCCCAGGGTGCCCAGCTTCAGGTGAGATTGGGTCTCCGGCTGGGATCCCCCCCTACTCCCATCCCTTGATCTTCGGGGCCACTCTTGGCATCCAGAAGACATGCCCACACAGGAAAGACATCAGCTCTTCCCAGCCACAAACCCCAGTGACTCCAGCTTCAGGTGGTGAGATTGAGTCTCCAGCTGGGATCCCCCCCACTCCCATCCCTTGATCTTCCGGGCCACTCCTGGCATCCATAAGACCCGCCCACACAGGAAAGACATCAGCTCTTCCAAGCCCCAAGCCCTAGCGAGTCCAGCTTCAGGTGAGATTGGGTGTCCGTCTGGAATACCCGCACGACACCCATCCCCTTGATCTTTGGGGCCGCTCATGGCATCCATAAGACCCGCCCACACAGGAAAGACATCAGCTCTTCCAAGCCCCAAACCCCAGCGAGTCCAGCTTCAGGAAAGACATCAGCTCTTCCAAGCCCCAAACCCCAGCTAGTCCAGCTTCAGCTTTAGGAAGGAAGGAGACCAGTGGAGACAGAAAGACACCACCAGCATCCACTGCAAGAAGAGATGGGAAGAAGACAGAATAAGAGTTCAAACAGCAATAGAAAGACCAACATGACCCCACCAGAATCTAGGGATCCAACACCAGCAAGACCCGAAAAGGACTACATAGATGAAGGAGAGGAGACAGGCCTTAAAAATTATTTCATGAAGATGATGGAGACCCTCAAAGAAGAAACGAGGAAATCCCTTAAAGAAATTGAAGAAAAAACAAACAAAAAATCCATGAAATGGGGGAAATTTTTCAAGAAATAAAGACATCTCTCAAACAATCTAAAGAGCACCAAGAAAAAACAACCAAAAAAATGAAGGAAACAACTAAAACAGTTGAAGGATTGAAAGCTGAAATAGAAACGATAAAGAAAACACAGAATGAAGGGAGGCTGGAAATAGAAAAGCTGGGTAAATGATCAGGAACTACAGATGCAAGTATCACCAATAGAATAAAAGAGATAGAAGAGAGAATCTCAGGTGTTGAAGACTCATTAGAGGATATGGATGGAGTCGTCAGCCAAAGAAAATCTCAAAACCAACAAATCCTTAACACAAAATATCCAGGAGATATGGGACACCGAGAAGAAGCCAAACCTGAGAATAATAGGTATAGAAGAAGGCGAAGAAATACACCTCAAAGGTACAGAAAACATATTCAACAAAATCATAGAAGAAAACTTCCCTAACTTAAAGAAAGATATGCCTATGAAAATACAAGAATCTTACAGAACACCAAATAGGCTGGACCAGAAAAAGAAGTCACCTCGCTATATAATAATCAAAACATCAAACTTACAGAGTAAAGAGAAAATATTAAGAGCAGCTAAAGAAAAAGGCCAAGTAACATACAAAGGCAGACCTATCCGAATTACACCTGACTTCTCAATGGAAACGATGAAAGCCAGAAGATCCTGGACAGATGTCCTACAAACACTAAGGGAACAAGGATGCCAGCCCAGACTACTATATCCAGCAAAGCTCTCAATTACCATAGATGGAGAAAACAAAATATTGCATGAAAAAGCCAGATTTAAACAATACGTATCCATGAATCCAGCTCTACAGAAAATGCTAGAAGGAAAACCTAGAGCCAAGGAAGATAACTACATTCACAAAGACACAGGCAATATATAATCACACTTTACAAAACACTAAAAGAAAAAGGGAGGAGAAACTACACAAAATAACTTCACTAACAATAAATCAAGCACAAACAAGGATCACCAATCAATGGTCATTAATATCCCTCAATGTCAACGGCCTCAACTTGCCTATAAAAAGACACAGACT